TAAATAGAAAATTTATAGTGACTAATTTAATAAAAATTCGAATATAATTGTTAAGTTTTTATACTTCGAAAGTTACTGCTTTTCAAAAATGAAAAGTTTTGTGTTGAATCTTATGAGGATATCCTGATTGATCAATACTACTCAATAAGTTATAATACGAATTACCAATTTTCTCATTTTTTTTATTCCATGGATTTATTATATTAGATTTTTAATGGTGTTTATTTTTATGAATATTTTAATAAAATAAGATGTTTAAGATTTTTTGATCTAAATAAATGAATAACTACAGTGACTGGTGGCATAAAAATTGTAATACCTTTCTTCAAATCTTACATTTTTAGAACAACTTCTATAAAATAGAGGTAGACTGTAGGTTTGTATAGGATCCGATGAGGATATCCCGTACTACCAGTACAATACAATACACTTCAATAATAATTCACAAACAACCCTTCCTTTTTTTTAAAGTTTATTATATTAAAATTTTTCATCTTCGTTCATTTTCTTACAAGTTTCGGGAGCTTTTATTGCCTTTATTATTATCAATTAAATGGATTAATATTTTTTTTTCTCAATTATTTGTATTTTGTATCGATGTTTCAAATATATTTGTTGAACTTTTAAAATCTGGTAACTCCTTTAAATTAAAACAAAAAAAAAAAATGTCTGGTTTTAATAAAATCTTATGAGGATATCTCGATTAACCAATACAATCCAATATGCCCCGTTAAGAATTAACTGCAACATCTTATGTCTTGTCTTCAATTTTTTTTTTTTTCAATTACTTTCGATCTTGTAATTATCACTAAGCATACTTTTTATTTCCTTCAGAATAAATGCTTGTTACAATTTTTGAGAAAAAAAATTGGTTGTCTGTAAAGTCGGTTTACGGACGATAGTTTTACGTGATAACGTCATAAAGAAACATTGATGAAAAATTGCATACTTTTATGGATTGAATTGAATTATTATCACTGAATTATCATTATTTTGTAATTAACATTATTTGTTATTAACATTGATGGCAATGCCACATCTGCAAGTACCTCCACTGCACTCGCTGTGGCAAAAAGTAACTCTTCTGTTCGTCAATCCACCAAGCTTTTGTTATGTGATGCAAACAAAACAAAATTGCCGCTCAAGGATGGGAGCTCTTCCTCAAGCAGCTCTTCTGGATCTGGTGAAGATTCAGATTCATCTGGAGACAGTTCACCAACTTCACCTGGTGGTGACACTGGTGATGACACCGCATCAGATAAATAAGTCTAAGATGGTCAAGATAGTTATTTTGTACTTTTATATCGCACTTTTCTTTTTTGCAGATTGTTTTTAAATAGTTACACGACAAAATTATATTCGGCAGAAATTGAACTAAACTTCCATAAAAAATAAAAAACAAACCGTTTCTATAGTAATTCTATCTGTTTCTACATTATTTTTTTTCAAACGAATTTTTGTATTAGTATATTTAATAAATATTAAGAAATATGTACTGAAAAAATTTTGATTTGATTGCGAAAATCATATGATAAAATTCAGGCATCTGGGTATTAGGTTATAAGCTAAGCCGATTCTGGAAATCCAAACATTCTTTTTGTCAGAGTCAATAAGTATTGACGAATAGGTACCGATAGAAAAAATTGTCATTTTATTTTGAAAATCCTGATGAAATCCAGATACCTGAATTGTAAATTCTTAAAGGATCGCCTCATTAAATTTTTTAGGTTATAAGCTAAGCCCATTCTGGAAATCCAATCATACTTTTTGCCACTGTCAATTAGTGTTGACAAATAGGTATCGTTAGAAAAAATTGTCATTTGATTGTGAAAATTCTGGTAAAAGCCAGGCATCTGAATGTAAATTCTAAAAGGATCGCCCCATTAAATTTATTAGGTTATAAGCTACGCGCAATCTGGAAATCCAAACATACTTTTTTTGACATTTAATAAGTGTTGACGCATATGTATCGATAGAAAAAATCGTTATATGATTGTGAAAATCCTGATGAAAGCCAGATATCAGAATTCTAAATTCTACAAGGATCGCCCCATTAAATTCATTAAGTTATAAGCTAAGCCGATTCTGGAAATCCAAACATACTTCTTTTCACATTTCATAAGTGTTGACAAGTAGTTATCGATAGAAAAAATCGTCATTCGATTATGGAAATCCTGATCAAGACCAGAAGTGGAAATTGCAAATTCTAGACGGATCATCCTCTTGAAATTTTTAAGAAACACAACAGACTTTATCTGGATACTCCCATTTATAGACATAAAATAAACTTTGTTAATTGGGATAACTGGATATCCACGTAAGAAATAATCTTCCATATACACTCCAATAGAACTTATTCACCCCAATTGCATTTTCCACACTATAATCGGTATTGGTATGTAACAGGAATTACTGCGACAAAAGCACAATAGATTCCGATATAATTTTTTTTTTATTGGAATCTATTGGACATTTTCAACAGGGTTATCAAATCGAACTTAAACGTAACAAAGTAACGGAATGAAACAATTCACAAACACAGAATAAACTAAACGCTTAATTTGTAATACTGAAACAATTAGATACCATAAATAAATTCAAACTATCAATTACAATTAAACAATCTGAAGAAATAAAGACGACAATTATATACCAAACAATAAATAAATACTTAATGAAAACTCAAATTTGCGTTGACAACGTTTAAGTTACTTTGCACAATTAAGAATAGAATCAAAGTAATTATACACAAAGAGTATTCATATTTTTGAACAATGCAATGATAGAAAGCAGGTGGTGGGAGTGAAGAAAGGCTATGTTTTCAGCTTCAGTAATAGATTACGGAAAAGCTCACGATACCTCGCAGCGCTTTGGCGTGAAGAAAGGCAGCGCTGTAGCGTATAACAATCAAGGTCATTTTCCGATCAAAGGAAATCAAAGTTATTATACACGGATAGTATTCCCTTTTTTGAAAAGCGCAATGATAGAAACAAGGTGGTGGGAGAAAGGAAGGCTATGTTTTCAGCTTCGGTAACAGATTACGGAAAAGCTCACGATAACTCGCAGCGCTGTAACGTGAAACTTTCAAGGTCATTTTCAGGTGGTCGACTTCGCTAATAAATACTTACAAATGTAATGGTGGAGGGGGAGTACATGAAGCTGCGACAGTATTGACATTAAAAAGGACAAAACAACAAGAGGGCTAAAAACGGAAGTTTAAAAGTGTAAGTTTATAGAAAAAAGTATATCCCTACACAAATGAATAACTTTTGATTGAGAAGCCGAATTTTTTTACTATTGGAGTTAGTTAAATACAGTGAAAATGAATTTATGTCGATAACTAATCGTTAAAAAGCAAAATAATACATTGGTAAATTATGATTTTATAAAAAAAAATTTAGTCTTCCGACAAAAAAAAATTATTCTCAATATTAAAGTCATAAATTTTTCAATCAAAAGGAAAAAATCATGTGTAACGCGAAAAAAACGATAAATTACTTTTGAATTTAACTTCAACGTCGAATAACTTTGAAAGGAGTGAATTTAATCAAAAATGTTAAGAAACCTTTTTTGTAGAGCATTAAATTTCCTTTAAAAATAAGTATTTTAAATTGTAAAAATATTGATATTTCTGGTAGCTACAAAAATCCAAAATCGAAACGCAAAATTGAAAAAATAAATCTTTGTTTAAGGCATGATTACAAGGAAACGGCTTGTTTTACAGTAATTTACTAGGATAACTTTTTTTTAGGAAATTTAATTTCCTATAAGAATACATATCGTTAAAATTTTTCAGATTGATAATTAACGAGTTTTGAGTAAAAAATGGGATTACTGTTGAAAAATCAATAGTCGTAACGATACACCCCTTAATATTATTATTAAGGACTTAAACTTGCACAATAATTTTTTTTTATCATCATGAATGATATTTTCACAGTATCGATAGAAAAAAAAAATAGTCAATTTTTTTGGCCCAGTCTAATATACAGTCTTGTAGTTTTCGTTTTTTATTAATTATAATTAAACGACACTGAATTAATTAATCATTCGCATTCAGTGACCTACAATCGTCGATTAGAATTTAAAAAAAAAAAATTTAACTCAAATAATGGATTTTTTCACAAGTTACAGTGTTTCCGGGTTTCACACATGACGGACAGGAAAATTTTTTGACCTATTTTGGTGTTTCTTTCCGATTCTATTACAGTAAATCAATTTTTAAAAAGTATGGAATTAATCTCCATTAAATTATCTCGACAATAGTATGCAAAATATCTTGATTCCGTGAACTAACAAGGCTATAATAATAAAAATAGCTGCCAAAATGAGGCGAAAAAAATTTTTCGATCGTAAAGCACTCTCTGATGCTTCGCATCATGAGTCGTGCAATTATATCATGCGTTAAGCCTGACTTTTAGATTATCTCTAAAAAATGAATAAAAGTTGAAATAAATTTATTATTTAATATTTTCACGTCGTGCATTTGATTTCTAAATACTCGAAATTACAATATTATGTATCTGCATAACTTTAACTTGTATAGAAGTTGCAAAAAACGAATCCAAATCGAAAGGGGTCGATTCCAACTACTGGTCGATTTGAGATGGAATGACCCATTAATATTTAAGAAAGTACAGTGCAATTTAACAATAGTTATTATTTAATAAAGCAAAATTTTATTTTTACAATTTTCTAATAAAATTTTGATTTAAAAAAAAAAACATTCTAAAATTTGTACCAATATATTAATAATATTATTTTTTCAGGTTATTCCGAAGAAGATGCAGCTTTTTGCGTTAATAACGGCATCGATTTTACCAAATTACAAGGACTAACCCTTGAAGAATTCCAACAAAAGCGTCAACTATCAATAAAAAAAGCTCAAGAGTGGAAAATAGGAGGCTACGAGGTCAGTCCAACATTAAGAGACTGGTGAATCTCGCGACAAAGATACTGGGACACACCAATCCCAATAATCTACTGCAAATCCTGTGGAGATGTTCCATTACCAACTACGAGACCAACTACCAGTAACATTACCAAAGAAACTGACCTTAGACAAGGAGATTCTCAATTTGCGGCAAGCTGTCGACTGGCTGAAGATATCTCTTGTCCGAAGTGTAGCGCTGAAGCGTTCTGAGAAGCCGATACTATGGACACTTTCGTCGACAGCTCGTGGTACCTTATTAGATATACATCGATGTAAAAAATACCTCTGAGATATTTTCAAAAGAAAAAGCTAGAAAGTTTCTGCCAGTGGACTTGTACATCGGCGGAAAATAACACGCAGCACTGCATTCATACTACGCGAGGTTCGTCAATCATTTTTTGCACTTAAAAAGCTTGTTGCCGACGAGGGAGCCGTTCAAGCTGCTGCTGGTCCAGGGGATGGTGATGGGCAAGAGTTTCAGAATGAAAGGCAGCGAGAAGTATCTCAAGAGCTTTTCATAGAATTTTTTAACAGAAGCTTAGTTTGGGCGTTTCCGGTGAAAATTCAAAATTTGGCCGGAAGTGCCCAATTGGGGAGATTTAATTAAATCTCCTGGTAAAAATCCTATGAATAATCAAATACATCCCCCCCCCCCCAAATATCTCAGAAAATGCCCAAACATAGCCCCTGTTAAAAGCGGAACTCAAAATTCCAATTTTAAAAGATCCTCCACGGGAGTTACATTTTGGCACACCCTAATATATTATTATTATTATTATTATTATTATTATTATTATTATTATTATTATTATACCACAATATTACATTATACTATATATTATATATTCATTTTACAAGCAAGTACGGAATACACTCACATACCATGCTTGTAAAGGTGGACCCTAAGAACTCCGCCATCCATCTTACGGCAGTAAATAAATTATATTTATACAGTCGAGGACAATGTCACGCATGCGTCATCAATCTCTACACAGCCGAATAGCTTACGTTTTAACTGTCATTTTAATTAAAAAGCGCACCTATGACTAGCTTCAAAACTTTCATGTATTTTTATTTAAAGGATTAGAAGGTTATGGCGTCGTACGCGTATTATTTACAGATTGAGTATCGCCTGTACGTAAAAACCCGCATACATCCGCCATAAGACGAAAAATTTTTTTAATAAAATTTTTTAAGCACCATGGGCAAACCACGCGCAAATAAGGTTGAGATGATAATTATTTGCAACAGGGATATAAACCCTTGGCCCTATCGGGCCTCAGCCTTATACTATCCCTTCTGAAAATATTTATCACCTCGACTATATTTGCGCGTGGCTCGCCCAAGGTACATAAATAACTATTTCAGTTCTCTGAGGGCTTCCAAAAATTTTATTGCTTAATTATGATATTATAAAGTACCAATATGCCAAGTTTCATTAAATTCTGAAGGTCAATTCTAAAACCGGTAGTACTACCTTAACACTGTGCCCAAAAATAATGTCCAAATTAATATTACTAGGGTAAATGCTTCTAGATATTTCAAATAATTAATTCAATATTTACAATACTTGTAACTTAAAAGTAAGCTCGGTATTATAGACAAATAAAAAAGAATTTAAGAGTTACCAAAATTCAAAGTTAAAAAAATCTAGAAAACGATTGACCCTGCAGGCCATTCCGGGAATTTTCCGCTATGTACGAGTTTAAAATACTTGAAAAATTATCTATTTTGAAGTTTTGAGCTCTTCGAGCTGAAAAACACAACTTCTATACTTTTTCGAGCTCTTCGAGCACCCGCGCGCGCGCACACTAATTTCATACCGTTAAAATTTTTATATTTATATAAATTAATAAATTACGGTCATTATTGCTTGATAATAAAATAAAAGTCATTTTTAAATAAAAATTATCATAATTATTATTTATGAAATTATCAATTGCTTTCAAAAGTCTATAATAATCGATTTTTATGTTAAAAAAATAATCAGCGAATTTTATTGAATGTGAATCTTAGAAATAGCGAATTTTGTAAATTAGTCGGTTCACAAACGATTAATTTCATCAATTCTCAGGTTTACAAACTGCAATTTTTATAATTTCAAGGCTTAGAAACGGCGAATTTTTTAAATTTCCAAGTTTAAAATTAGCTGAATTCATGTGGCTAAGTTTTAAATTGACTAAATGTATGATTTTATAAGCTTTAAAGTTCATTTATTTTAACCCTATACTATTCTTCAATTGTTTGTATTTTAATATGAATAAATTTTAGAGCTAAAAAAATTTTCAATAATTTTTCCAGTTTCATTGCAGTTTCTATGACAAATACCAACAAAATTTTTTACGTTTCAAACATGTATTTATGATTATGAAAGTTACGTACTTGCCCATATTGAATTTTCCGACGAATTGTGCATCTCGAATAACATCACCCATCCGTCGTTTGAGTTTTTTTAATTTTCTTGGTTCATCGTTTTCACTAGAAATATGTAACGGTCTTTTAAAAACTGGACAACCATCATTTTTCCAAGCATTCCAATATTCTTCTCGTTTTAAAATATTTTTTACAATCTCTGTAAAAACTTTACCATCTGGTGGAGTTTCGACTAATAAAACATATATTTGTTCCGTTGTTGTTTTTACCCACTCTATTTGGTCTGGTTTCAACTCATGCGTTTCACTGGAAAATAATTAAAAACTGAAATTAATAGAATTGGAAATGAAGAAGCCCAACAATTGATAAAACTATACATATAATTCTTTCATCTACCTACGGTTTTTTACAAAATAAATTACTTACGTTTTAAACTTAACTGTACTGTTAAGATATTGAAATAAAATGAGAAATTGTAAAAGTACATAACGTCGAAAGTTAGAATCTGATAATTGTAGTTCAAGTAATTTTTGATTTGTAAGATATTTAGCAAAATAATGAGTTTCTTTATAAGTATTCTCTCCGGTAGATTCTTTATAGATTCCAGTTAGAGAACATGTTCGCTGATCCTCCAATTTGAAAGATGAAAATGCAGAAAGTACGCTGGAGGTATTCTGAAATAACAAGAAAAGACATTAATAATAATAATTCTTATCATCGTAAAATTATTAGGAATAAATAAAGTTAAGGATAAAAAATTTTTAAAAAAAATGTTGTCATACCGTAGAAAAAACTTTCCAGTGAACTTTATTATAACACTGGTTGGGATTTCTAAAAACATCCTGTAGAGCCCAAAATTTTCGATACAAATTATAGTCCATTTGTATTTTATTTTCTGATTTTTCCTCTTCCATTGATTCTAAATCATCATCAATTTCTTCAGTTTTATATTCAGTATGATTGTCTAAATTAAATTCACTGACAATATTAAGCCCAGATCTTTCAGAAAAGGGGAAAAATTTTGCAAGAAATAATAAAATTCTGCCACAAAATACTGTTTGTTGTGATCGAGATAGTCGCCGTAATAAATCATTACACATTCGCAATAAATTGTTTTTACAAGCACTGAAAAACAAATCTTCCTTCCAAATTTCAACATTATTCTCAACATAGGTAAACAGTTGTTCACATTTATCTAATGTCATTGCATCGAAAATATCGCTGAGAAGCATTACCGGCATACTGGTAGTCGCTAAATCTTTTCTACAAAGATCTATTGTTACTTTAATGTAAGTTTCAAAAATATTAACACTTTCTGATGTACTATCATTTAGAACAATCAGTAAAGTATCACGTAAAGCTTGATCAACAGCGGATTTACGATCTGTATCATTAGGACAGGCCTCAACAGATTTTTTTTGAAAAGTTGCTACATCAGAATTTCTCAAACACTGCTGTAGTAAAACCTGTAAACAAAACGAAAATTATAACCTCAAAAATATTCAATTGTGGTTAAATTTTCTGAGGAAACATTAAGTACTATACTTACGCTGAAATCTCCTCTCAACTTTTCAAATTTAGCCATTATTAGTAGCTTTTAATATTATACCGTTATATGTGATAATAAATTGAAATCAAATAAAATTATAATGCTTACTCCAATATAAAAATTGTTGGTTTTTTTATCATTATCTTTCAACAGACTACTCTGGACTCTGGACTACTCAGTACACACACCACTGTCGGAGTTGAGTATAACCAATATACATTCATGGATATAAGTATCAGTGTTGCCGATGGCTTAAGTTAGAATTACCCACTCCACTAAGTCCAATTACCCGTTTTTACCCGGCACTGAAAGTTAGTGTTGCCATCTACTAAAAGCGCGGTAAATTTAAAATTAAATATTAAATCTTACGTGAGCATTCAAAATAAAAAGTACACAATAATAATTATTAATAAAATTTATTGAATTATTTCGTTTTTTTAAACTTTCAAAACATAATATTGTTAAGTATTTGTTAAATATATAAACCATATAAATTAAAAAATAAACATTAGACGATGTACTTAGTAATGATAATCGTTATCATAACAATATTAATTCAGATTTTTTATTATTTATCGTTATTTTTCCCAAACATTTGTGTCAATCATTTCGTTTGTTGGCTCAAAATTAATAATTTCGCTATCCTTAGATAAATAATTTTTAGTTACTGATACAGATTTTAAGGTTTCCGTGGATAAATTGTTTCTATTAGTCAATTGATTTTGTGAATCACTCATTATGTTCCGGTAAGGCGCAAGTTCAAGTTATGAGGGCAAGCGGAAAAATATGAGTTTGAATTATACACTCAAAAATATTTATTCAATACTTTAACATAAAATGTAATTTAAGGAAATCCAAGTACCCTGCTAGTGTAAAGAATGTCTAAAAAAAAAATAATGCGTAGAAATACTTTTGTTATGCATCTTAAAATTAATTTTCAAATTAATTAATAACATTTTTGAGGAAATTTCCGAAAAATTTACGCATTTAATAATTATTTAATTGACTAAAAAAAATATAGCACTCTGAATTACCGGTAAACACTTGACAACACCGTAACAGTTCCCTAACCTTGAAATTTATTTGTTTGTAAACATGTCTCAGATAAACCAGCATAATTTGCGAGCGCATTTTGGCAAATTTTCTACACATTTTATAAAGAAATATATAATTTTATTTATGTAATCCTGTTAATTAAATTATATTCCTTACTCATCGATTAAATGATTTCCAACTTTTAATTGTAAGGGCCAGTTTTTCAATCCAAGATAAAATTTTATCCAAGATAAAAAAATCACACAATGAGAGGTTATTATTTTTATGATATATTTATTTATTATTTAAATAAATGACCAAATTCATGGAGAACTAACTGAGAGCAATATCACGTCGCTAAATTATTTATTTATTTTTTTTTTTTTTTTTTCATTATATTGACAGTACTTTTATCTCGGATAAAATTTTATCCCGGATTGAAAAACTGGCCCCAAGTATCTTTGTATTTTTAACTTACTTTATTAAAAAAAATATGTTTACTGTCTAACTAAAATGACTAAGAGATTTTCTAGCATTTAAAAAACCGTGGTTACTTATGCGCCGGGTAACTGCGCAAGCGGTGTTGTCAAGTCAAATACAAGAATTCAAAGAACGGAAGTTCCTTGTGATTTTTCATAAAAAATATAAAATATCTTCGTAAAACGTCCGGAAACCTACTTTTTTTATTATTTTAATCGAAAGCTTATTAAATTTTCTATCAAATTCAATGAAAAGAAAAATTTTTTAAAATCGTTAATTGCATTAAATTCTTAACCAAATACACGGCTGGTGAAATCTCCATTTAACTACATGTAAAAATTACAATTTTCAAACTTAATTATTTCATTAAATATCCCGGAAACCTACTGTTTTTTAATTTTTTTATTGATTATTAGGCTATGTAGATGAAATTTACAAATTTTCAGAAAATTTTTAAAACTTGACTGCTTCGCGTGGATCTCCTTTTAATAAAACAACCATTACCCGACTTTACCCGTCTGAGTCCCATTGCTTGGTCATTTACCCATTTAACATCGAATTACCCGAAAAATGGGTAATTACCCGGACATTGGCAACACTGATAAGTATATATGTATAGCACTTACTATGCACACTACAGCCAGCCAGTTAGGACTCTCTTAAGTTGGCGGGGGGTAATCGATTTTTTATTAATTTTTTTGGCTAATTCAATTGTTCTTAAACTGTTCTGTAATGTTTGATCAAAAATTTTTTTTGTTCGTTTTTGTTAATTTTCAAAAATTGACTCTCAAGTTAGCACTAAATATTGATTTTCTCACTTTTTTTTTTTAACAGTTTATAATTATTTATTCATTGTTCGATTAAAAAAAACATTTGTTCGTCCTTCGTTATCCTGTAATTTAATGTGATTTAATGATAAACTTTTTTTTATTCTAAGCTAATTTATTTTCACCGCGCATGCGCAAAGGTCATTCGAACCATAAGTAACCCGGCAACCTTTAAATGGAAATGATTTGTAAATGATCGTTATATCCAAGAGACGTAAAAAGTTTTCTATTAATATTTTTTAGGATTTAACTTGATAATTATTATCTTAAATATATCTATTGCACGTCTTTAGTGCAAAACCCGTAGGTAGGTTCTACAATGGCCTAAAAAGCAGTTCTTACTTTGCAGGTTGCATAGTCTATTTTTTTATATTAAATACTAATTAGCCTCTCGAATAAGCAGTAGCACCACCTTACTAAGACGGTAGACTGACAAATAATATTTTGAATTCAAAAAGTCAAAATTCCAAATCAAATAGTTAGGAGCGAACAAGTACTATGATTGTCCATCAAATAATTGTTTCAAATAATTCCGGACGCCAATATTTCTTGAAAATATAAAATATTCTTTTTAGTAAAATTGAAAGTCTAATTTTTAAGATGCAGTGGTATGAATGTAAACTGCTTAGCGGACAAACAGACAATCGAAAACTTTGACAATCGATATCTCGATATGAAGGAATCGAATTTACTTAAAATAAAAAATGCAGTCTTATTCAAAGTTTGGATGTTTCACAACTGCATTTATTTGTATTTTAAAAAAAAAAGATTTTTTTCGAATAAAAATTTAAAAAAAAATTTTTGACGAGTGCTCCAATCAACATTTTCTGGCAGAAAAATTCAAAATGAGGTGGTTGTATCTCTTTTGCGCCAATTTAGACCTGCATTTATTTTTATTTCAAAATTATTGTTATTATATAAATCGAATTGTAACAATTAAAAAAAGTTTGGAAAATCCAAAAGTGCACGCCTCATAATCTCATTTTTCACAATAAAATTGATTAAAATAAAATATAAAAAGCAAAATAATAAAAAACAAAACTCTGCTATGGTTTAGTGGCGCCATAACTCTAAGGTGAGGAAAAAAAATACTATAATAAAATGTATAGATAGATATACAAAAAAATCCACAGTCATATATTAGTTTTTTATAAATAATAATTTAACGACAGTGAATTGAACGCTCATATTAATTAGGAAAATCCTTCGTATGTTACTTTAAATAATAAAAAAAAAATTGTTCCGGTACGATCATTTTTTCGACCAATTTCCCTGCCACATACACTCATCCATACACGGACGTCCAGAAAAAATTATGTTAAATGTTATTATTTACTATGTTAAACAAAAAAATTGTTATTGAAATATATTTTATGTGCCTGACAAATTATTCGACTTGATATAAGTGTACTCACATTAACCTGTAAGTGCGATATAAATAACAAAAAATCAATTTCAGTTTCGAGAAAACTGCTTTTTTTGAAATGTCGAGAGTAGAGCACAACCTCAACGCTTCGCTTATGAGGCGTGCAAAAAAGACTTAACATAAAAATAAAAAAATGCAGGTCTTTATTATATTAAAATCTACACCTGCATTTATTCAGAATTAAATTTTTTTAATTTCCTACCGAGTTATCAATTTTTTCCTTATCAAACAATTTTTTATTTTAACCCTGGTGGTTATCCATTATATTATCTATCCATTTTACAGACTCTTTTATTTTAAATAATTAATAAAATATATTCAATTTTTCAATAATTACATCGACTTTTAAATATATGCATGTTTTGTACATAAAAAAAAATGATCTGTAACGTTAAAAAATAATTTTTCGTTTTTAAACTTAATTTATTATTTATAAACTATGCATGTTAACTAGATTTATAATAATAAATAAAATCAAATTTTATTTTAATTTATAAAATATTAATTACTTAATAAAAATTTATCTAAATAAACATTAACATGAAATATTTACAAATATTTTTAAAATAAAAAAAAACGACACTTCTCACAAAAATTAAGGGAGCAAGAAAGAAATCCAAATTTTTGGAGATTTTTTTGGTTTTTCTTTTTAGTCGACGGACTTAAAACAAAATTTTTTCTAGAGAATTTATTCAAGTTTACGAAACCCACCTTGAATTTTCTGTGCGATTATTGGTTGCTGAGATATTGATAATCAAAAATAAAATGATCCTGTTTTATTCAAACACCGATATCTCAGCGGGAAATGCTCATATCGAGGTCTTTAAAAAAAAAAACAAATTAAAGCTGAATAAACAAGTTATCCCGTCCATGTAGAGGTTAAGTCAAAAAAATTTTTATTTGCTGTACGACCATTTTTGTTTAAGTCACAGTCTGTTCAAAAATCCCCAAAAATTTGGATTTTTTTCTTGCTCCCTTAATTTTTGTGAGAAGTGTAGATTGTTTTAATTGTAAAAATATTTCATGTTAACTTTTATTTAGATAAATTTTTATCAAGTAATTAACATTTTATAAAATTAATATAAAATTTGAGAGAGTTAAAATAAATTGTTTGATTATAAAAATAAAATCGGTATTATTATAAATCTAGTTACATATACATAGTTTATAAATAATAAATTAATTTTAAAGAAGAAAAATTATTTTTTAACGTTACAGATCATTTTTATGTATAAAGCATGCATATGGGTGATTCTCTGTAAGGACGT